ACCTCATTGGCCATGCTCAGTTTCTTTTATGATCCTTCTTTATATCTTCTAATATCTTTAATATACTATGTTTAATCCTTAATATATTTTCTCTTCTTCCTGTACTTACTCTTCTTTTGATTTTGTCCAGTCTTACATTTTCAAGTGTCTTTGACTTTTGGACCCTAACTCTGTACCCCCAGGCAGGATCTCTCTCTAAATTTCAAATTCACATAATCAAGGATTTATTTGGTTATATACTGGACATATATCTAAAAACTGAACTAATATTCCTCACACTTAAGCATATTTTCATATTGTCTTTGGTATTTTAGTTAACACAATCTTTGATTCATTCCTGACTTTCCTCTGTTTTGAGAACACTGCACACCTAACTCATCAGCAGAACCAAGAGTATTTACAGGGTATAACAGGTCACATTCCAGTTCCATGCCTGCTATCTTGGTCTAAGTGGAATGTCCCACTCATAGCCCAAGAGTCACATGCAGCCATGGACAATTAGAAATGAGACCTCACAACAAGCCTAATCATTTAACATTATTGTGTGACATTTAACAAGGTTTTGATGACTTGATTACTGGGTGCTCGCTCAATCCTGAACTACATGGGGCACAGGAGAAGGCTATGAGGAGGAGGACACAGTACAGTGGTAAAGCTGCTTCCTGAGCCCTTCTCACACAGTCAAGCAAATGGAAACCTGTGATCACTGATAGTAATAATTCAGTCTACCTACACATATTGTGCTTGTTAAGAGACATGTTTATTGTTACTAAGCAGAGAGGTAAATATTTTTATTTACTAAGCTTGAATTATTTTAATGTTAAAATAAAATATAAAAGCAAGTTTTGTTATTTATATATATTATCTGTCGTATGTATTTTATGTGTGCCTAGGACAACAAAAGTTTGGATACCTGTGGTCTAGGTAACATCTGTCACCTTAGTTACATGTGTAGCTGTCTAATAATTTTCCCACCTTCTTCCATCTTCTTCTCTCCCTCTCTGTATCTGTATTCATATCTGCATATAGTTCTATCTATATCTATATTTAAATCCAATCTACGTCTATATCATCTGTAGCTATCCATTTTATTACTCAGGTTACCTTGCTGGGACAAAAATGTGTGACACTCACACTTAAAAGAGCAGAGGTGTTTGTTGTGGTATTTTATTTTGTTTTGTTTTGTTTTATTTATAGGCTCATGGTTTCAAAAATTTAAGTCTGCAGCTGACTTTAAGGTGTAAATAACATGGTTTAAAGGCTTGGGAGAGAAACTGTTCAACCCATGCATCAGTGAAGGAGAGTAAAAAGGAAAGGGTCTAATAGCACATTCAACTTGAAACTTTTAAAATAATTAATCCATCGATGAGTACACCCCTACAACCCAGTGACTTCAAAATGCTCCATGTCTGTACATATGAAAAATTTGGGAAGCATTTTAAATCTTTACCACAGCATCTATCTGTATCTCCATATTAATCTATACATATTCTTTGAAGATAAAGAATATTTTTGCTTGCATACTACTTACCAGTGTACTGTGCCTAGAACAATGTAGTTAATCATATGATGAATTAATGACCTGAATCTTAGAAAAGGCCAATAGTCATTCAAGATGTGTGAATTAAAAGTTCTCTTAGACTCAGATCTCTTCTCGTCTATGCCATATTAGTTACTATTATATATTCCATTACAGTTGTTTTCTATAAATAAATCATTTAAAATATTGCATTTGTCAGAGTAAAGTCAATTCATTCTTCATGATATGTGATCTAATCTATGTATATAGACATAGTCATATATACACACAGCTAATATCTTAGAATAAAGTGTAAAATATCCTTCAACCCTAAAATATATCTAAAATATCTTGGAGAACAAAAAAATTAAACTGAATAACATATTGCTTCTACAAGCTATCAGTGTGGCCCAGTGTTTGACACCAAGTTTGGAGAAGTGGAATATATACATCCTTCACTTCTGGCCATCAGGTTTGTAAGCTTGGGATTCCGCTTGTCCTCAAAAGCATGCATTCCTTTTGCTAGTTTGTTCATAATACATTAATCATGTACTAGTGGCACGTACGTTCCCATTTTCATATAGACAACGAAAATTAAATATTTCAATAGATTTAGTGAGTCATTTAATGAATTTTAATCACCATAAAATACTTATTAAGAACCCATTTGTATACAATGTGACTGTCATGTTATGATACCAGATCACTATTAATGTAAATATCAATTTTAATATAAGTATCACATTTGTAATTTGAAAACGTGTTTATATGCTTCTGAGATGATGCCTATTTCTTGAAGATTTTGAGTCAGGTGAATTGCATACTGTATCTACAGGAAATGATTATATGTGTCAAGCAGATAGTATTCTCAGACTTGTCAGTTCCCAAATGTAGGAATAATAGAGCTGGTCCCTCATGAATATTTCACTCGGGAACTCTGCTGCCTCTCTGGTGTCTAATATGTCAACCAATCATTTTGAACATAGTCTTTGCCCTCCTCTGTAGTGATTGGTCCATTGGTCTCAAGGGTGTTTCTACACAGTCTATTTAGTGATTTTCTTGGTCACCTTCTGAATCAATTATTCCCTGCAATATTCAGTTTCCCTGTTTCTGGGACACAGAGCTCCACATCTACTATTTAGAGGAGAGGTTTATTTTGGCTGACAGATTCTATGGGTTAAGTTCATGGTTTACTGGCTCTGAGGAAGAAACAGTAGGATGAGGGACCACTTGAGGAAAGCCACTTATACCACTTGGCCTCAAGGAAGAGAGAGAATGGAGGTTGGAGAACGATACAGCTTTCCAGCCCATTCCCAGGATGATATGCCTCTTCAGAACATGCCCCAATTTGAACCCAGTAGAGCCAATTTACATCTAAACCATAGCATTCTACCTCTGGCTCCAAAAGTCTCATGTATCTCATTGTATAAAAAAACATTTAGTCTATCTCAAAGACTTGCCAGTCTTCACCCTTAGAGCACTCCTGCAAAGTCCAAATGCAAAGTCCACTCTGAGACTTGAGACAAAATTTTAGCTGTGAGCCCTCATAAAATTCACAAATAAACTTAAACCCCTCCAACATACAATGGCACAAGGTAAATATTTACATTCCAAAATGGAAGAACAGGAAATAGAAAGGAATCAGACCAAAGAATGATGAAACCCAGAAGAGAATGTATCATAGTGTAGTTCCATGGTTAGCATCTGCAACAGGCATTGGTAAGATGTGTATTCCAAAGGGCTTGGGCAGCCTCACTTCTATGGCATGTAGGCTGCAGCTCACACATCCTCTCTCTTGGGCTAGCTCTGTCCCATGTCTGCATTTTCCCTCAAAAGACTTTGCATAATTCTATGATCTTCATCTTCCTGGAGTTTCCACTGAATCTTTGGCTTCCCTCTCATAGCTTTACGAATTGCCCTTTCAGGGGCTCCTGACAGAGAGTATGACCTCATCACATTTCTGTCTGGCCCCCCAGAATTTCTTATGAGTTCTATGAGAAATCATCTATGATCCCATAACTTGAATCCTGCATGCATGAAAAAATAGTATTCCATGGACTGCATCAAGGTCTATCATTGGACCAGTTTCTGAGTGTTTGGTGAGTCTGCATGGTGAAATGAATCCGAGGAGTCAGTTCCCTGGCCAGTCCTTCTAGTGCAGGGGGACCAAGGCTTCAGTTTTCAAATGAAAGATTTATAGTTTTTCACCTTCAAGTCTACAATATATGCATCTCGCTGATTTCTCAGATGCCTTTAAGCTATCATTTCAATTGTCCTGATTCAAGTCCTTGGCTTCTTTTCAACACTAATCCTTTTCAGCAGTCTGGTTCTCAATGGCCCCAACTTTGCAGGCACTTCATTTCTGATGAAACTTGACTTTTTTTTTTTTTTTTTTTTTTTTTTTTTAATGTTCTGCCTGATTCTCTTTATAAATCTAGATAGAGGCACCTAGCTGTATCCATGCCACACTTTGAAAGTTTGTCTGCCATGAATTTCCTCCACCAGATTAATTAGTCCATTGCCTTTAATTTCAGCTTCCTGCAAATCTTAGGTCATGGACAAAATGCAGACCAATTCTTTGCCAAATGCATGGCTTCTAGCACAGTTTCCAGTAGAGCACTACTTTCTAACCGAAACCTCATGAGTCTGACCTTTATTATCCACATTCCTATGAGATTTTGTCTTTAATCTCCTGTTAGAACCGCCCACCAAGTTCATACATACAGCACTGCAGGGCTTCTGTAACCAGCATATCCAGACTTGTCCACACCTCTCCCACAAACCAGTTCCTTAGGTTTCATATTCTGACCTGTCTCCCCTCTCAACACAGAAGATTCGTGGTGGACATTTTAGAACTAAGCTATAGCAGTCCCAAGGGATTTTTCTAATTTTCTAGTTTCAGAATAAATCTTACTGCAAGTCAGAAAAGAGATGTTGAACATATTGCCAGTGTCCTTTACAGGCAGAGGGTACCTAACAACCAGAAAGAAAAGACTGCTCAGAGCAATGCAGGAAGAGGAGCCAGGACGGTGCTTCTCCAATACTGAGAATGCAATCCAATATAAAGCCATTTAATGCATGTCATCAACTTACAACGGCTGGCCCCTGCTTGTATTGATCTACAGGTAAACACACTAGCTTCCCATAACTAATTCAATGTTTCCCCTGAGGTTTAACATCAACACTGCAGTTCAAAATCTCCAGTCAGAGACATAGTCTCTTGCTGTTTTTGTTTATTGGTTTTGTTGGTTTGTTTTCCAGAATATTGGTAGGGTTTTAAGGATAGGATACCGGAGAATGTTTTAAATTTTTTCTGTTTCTTTATTTCTCTTTCTCTCCCTGTCTTATTCTGGTTGAAAGAGCTAACAAGTCTTGGAGGCTTCAATCCCTTATATAGTACTGCATATTGTCAAAAACTTTAATATGTATATGAATCCCTTGAGATCTTATTGAAATGTATTTGTGTTTTTATCCGTTCTAGAGCTTGAAGCTCCTAGTTTTCTTGGAATGAAATAACAGCCCTCCACAAAAGACAGACGTGAGTAAAAACAGAATGAATAAAACATTAGGAAAACTCCTCAATGTACAGTCTATATTAAGGGTTAAGAGTGTAAATGGACAATATGCATGGTTCTTTAATAGTCTTGCTTCCTCTTGTGACTGTTTTCGGAAAAGAAGAAAAATGTAGACAATAAGTTGGCTCAAAAAAATATTTTTCCTGTGAAGTTTATTTTGATATTCAGGACTTTATTTTCTTGTCACTTGCTTTTTATATTTTGGTTCAAAGTGACATTCTTATTTAAACAAATGTTTGATATCTCATACTTTACGAAGATAATTGATCAATACAGTATCTTTGTATGGAGAAGCAGTGGTGGTGGTGGTGGTATGTATGTGCAAGAGTGTGTGCGTATATATCTTTAGTGCTGGCTATCTAGATTTATAAAACCATACACTGTTGAGTCTTCTTGACTACATATAAAATTTCATTATGTAATTGATAGTTCTCAAGCATACTAGAAAGAGCTCCTGAGGCTACTAGATAAGCATGAGTTCCCAGCATTCATTGGGGAAGCTTATGCTAATTTAAGATCTGAAGTTTATGATAATTTAAGAATGTATAACACAACAGCGATAAAACAAAATACAACTTTTTCCTGCTCCTGTAAATTTTAATAAGTACTCTGGCTTATGCAGCTAGCATGAAGATAACTCCAGTTAATTATTTGTGGTACTTTAAAACAAATGTTTTGGGTAAGCAAGGTTATGGAGTTTGTTTCACTAAGATTGTATTCAACTGAGGAATTAGTCATCACATGTTTATGTGAAGTTTTCATGATAGATTAATTAGTTGAAGAATATAGCAACACAATAACATAAAACCTCATTTGGCTATCAGTACTTGAAACAGGACTGGTAATGCGATTCTTTATTTGCATAATTTTCTTTAGCATATATATCACCAGAGATTGTAGTATTTTGTAGCTAAAGGTAAGTACTATATTTATGATAATATTTGTTCTTGGAAATTATAGAGTAACTCATTAATTTTCAGGTAGTCTTATGAAATCTTTAAATCTTTTGCTTATCAGCTTGTACTATAATTATTTTGTCTTAGGGATTTGTGTTAAAAATGGAAGTAAATATAAAATCGCCAGTGTACATGTACTGCATTTTTTCTTTACAGAGTTGAGGGGAATAAAATTCCTTATCCTCTTTCTTCTCCCTTATAAAGCCCCTTCAAGGTATCTTTGCTTACAGTGTGACTTAGGCAAGGAAATGTGCTTGTAGACTATCTTGTTTTAGTCTAATTTGTGCCCTGTGTGTGCATATTTGTGTGTATACTGCATACATATTCCTCTATTTAATTTCATTCACATCTGGTATTGCTCATTCTAATTGTTACTGTATCTCAAATCTAAATTAACTTTTAAAAACTGAGATCTCTGATAATATGTTTGTCAGTTTAGGGTGATCATTAACTTGTCTCTATAGTTGTGATGAAATTCAATTTTGCAGTACTACAGTCAGTAAATGTTGTTTTAGTCTAATTTGTGCCCTGTGTGTGCATATTTGTGTGTATACTGCATACATATTCCTCTATTTAATTTCATTCACATCTGGTATTGCTCATTCTAATTGTTACTGTATCTCAAATCTAAATTAACTTTTAAAAACTGAGATCTCTGATAATATGTTTGTCAGTTTAGGGTGATCATTAACTTGTCTCTATAGTTGTGATGAAATTCAATTTTGCAGTACTACAGTCAGTAAATGTTATTAATCAAAATATTTAAAAATTTAAGTGGTATAGTATGTTGATTCAGACTAAAGCATAAAGAAAACATGGGTTAGGGGTCAGTTAGATATGTTTTTGATACTTCTTTATTGTTTTCTAATTGTTTGCCCTAGATGATTTCTATGGTCTCTCAACTACAGCAGGTAATCAATAAACACAATTTGATCCACATAACTTTGACGGTGAGAAAATTATAACTGTTAAACATGTGACATATAGAACAGAGTAAATATGCAATCATGGTTACCATTATCAGGTTTCAAGATTATATGCACATGTAGAAAACATGACCTAATTAAATGATGGAATCAAAGACATCTAGATTAGTATCTTGCTTTGTTTCAGAAAAAAAGACTATAAAATTTATTATATTCATAAAATGTTCAGTACAATGTTATATATTTTTGTATTTTAATAAAAATACCTTATTCAATTAACTTTCTTTATACTTGCCTACACTCTGATTTTACCAGACTGTATTAGTGGTAGAACTGGGAGGGATGTAATTAATTTTAATTTTTTATGTATACACTTATGTAGACTTTGATTCGTACTTAACCTGGCATGTATTTTCCTCGAATTCATTCTTTTCAGATTTTCAGTCAGATGTATGATACTGTGCCTACGTAATACATGGTAATTTAACTCTACACATATACAATATGTATATACACACACTACTGCCTTTTTTTTTTATTATTGATTTTTAGTGTGTCAGAATGGCTCTTAGGGCTGGGGATTTAGCTCAGCAGTGTAAGCGCCTGCCTGCCAAGCATGAGGTCCTGAGTTTGATCTCTGGTACAAAAAAAAAAAAAAAAAAAAAAAAAAAGGTTCTTTGGTTGAGAGAGCTGTAAATCTCAAATTACTGCAAATCAAAGTAAGTAAAAGCTTTATTAGGCTTTGAGAAATAAAGTATATTCACGCTTCATGATGTCAGGAGCTAGGTAGGAACTTGGGAGGTTTGGAAGAACATGGTTGTCTCCTCACCACTCCTAATTCTAAGGGGCTGCATGTTTTTCACAGTTACTTCATTTCTCTGTCTGCAGATTACTATTTATTTTCTTTTCTTCTATAAAATTACCTTACTCTTCCTCAGTTTAACATGGCATGATTTTTAGGCAAATCTACCTGATATTTCAATATGTGTTTTCAGTGAATTACCAACAGATACTTATCTCTTTTCAATCAACCACTGACCAGGAAGTTAGAGAATTCAGGAACTTTGGGCCATCTTTTCTAATCACACAAAGGAAACTTACAATAAAAATAGAGGGTCTAAGTTAGGCAAAAAACTCTCTTAAGTAAGAAGTTACATTGATCATTATGCTTCAAGTAAAATATTCCCAGTTGTTAATGACTTGATTTGATTTTCACAACATTTCCTATATAATAGCTGTCAGTGGTCAGATAGGAATCCATTAGACATCAATGTTTATGGCAATAAGAGACAGTGGAATAAAATTATTTCTTAGCAAACAACAAAAACTGAGTTCTCTTTCCTCACCTGAAAACAATGAGATCCTTTCAGTCCTGCACTTAGATTAAAGGCCATGTGGACCCTTACTGCCTTTCCATATATGTTCCATGTCATAAATACAAGAAAAATATTTTTGTAAGTCCTCAATCTGGTGATATTATAAAGCTGTGAATATATATTCTAAGTCCATGTAAAGACTACAATTAATGTTTATTGATTCTTTGTTAGAAATCATTTGCCTACAGCATAAATAGGCTATGAGGTATATATTTTTATTTTGTTGTATGTAGTAAGAAGAGATTTATATGAATATATATTAGAGGACTTAGATTATTTTTTATCCGTAAAGTATTTCTATCAATTAGTTTATGATCAAGTTCTATTTTACTCTTATTTTGTTCTCAGATACCAAATGCTTAGATTTCCTGCTTCCATAAGGTAGTGATGCAAAGGAAATAATCTGATAGCTACCAACAGAGCACTTAACCAATATCAGAACAATTTTCTGGCTAAACATATGATCTTGAGAACAACAGAGTGAATTTATTGACAGTACACTAAAATATCTTTAACAGAGTTCACTGTAGATTAGTCATCAACTTCAATTCTCAAACTCAAAAGTGAAGGTTTAATTACAGGATTTCTATGAAATTTAGCTATAAGATAGTTTCACATGAGTGGTAATTGCTTTAGGAAAAAATTCAATCTTAAACCTCTTTACATTATCCTAATTTCCTTCTGGTTTTTGTTCCCTGCTAAATTGCTCAGTTGACTTCAGATATAGTTCATCAAGTCTATGACTACAAAATATGTTTTAGTCCATATAATTTATGTGAAATGCAGTATCCATGGTTGGCGAATTTAGATATTGTTGAAAACATCTGTCAGGCCAAGGAAACCATGACTTTGCTGTTAAAACAGGAAAATGTTTTAGAGCTAGCATGAATCTGCTGGCAACATTAGGATTTAAATGTAAATCGCAGAACAGTCTTTAAGTATTCCTTTATTGAGCTATATTTATATCAGCAATAATGAAAGTATTTACAGAAACAATTACATAGTAAATAAGAGATGTTGCAAGTTTAATCAACATTACTGAAAATGTGTAGTTACTTTATTAACAGTTTCTGCTGGTACTACAAATAATTATGCTAAAGAAAATATTTTAAATGTGAAAACAAATATTGAATGCTGTGTGGTAAAGGGGGTTCTTTTGTTTCGTGCATTGGGACTGTAAGCATATTAGATTTAGTTATCACTGTAGAATTTCCGAAATAGATACTTGTGATAAGGCAGTGAAGAAAAATTTTCCTGGTGAAGAAAATAGATTTTTCTCTGCATTCGTGTCTCGTTTATCAAACATGTGAAAGATATATCCCACAAGATGCCACAGAATTTCTTCTGTGACACAGCCTCTCAAAAGGCATACAGAATCTGGTCCAAGTGTTGGTTACCATGCAGGCACTTAGAGACATGCACTAGTTTTCTACCACAAGGTCAAAGTTTCTGAGTGTTTACTGACTTTCCTGCATTTGTGGTGCACATAATCTCTTCTCTTTACCTACTCTGTTATTATTATTATTATTGTTATTATTATTATCACTAAGCTCAGGTATTTTCCTGGAAACAAATAGTGCTGGAGGGACTTCGTCCCTGCCTCTTACTCCACTGAGTGTCTGTGAACCTCTGCATCCCTCTAGGCCCAACCCCTCTTTAAGGCAGCTATTCAGAATTGCACCTTAATATTGTGGTAAAGCAAGGG